AACAGAACCAAAATCACTTTTAGCCAGAAATGAATTTCTGGAATTATTATTATGTTTCATGAGACCAACATTAGTAATGTAAATAGCAGCTGCCTTATCTGGTACGTTCCATACAATGTATTGTATTCTGCGGTGACAGGAACAGTGCACACTGGACACAATGTGAAAGTGATGTGTGTTGTATTTTTGGAGTTGGCTTAGTTAAATATGTGGCAAAAAAAAGTAGAAGAGGAACTGCGTGGGATTGAAAAGTATTGGGGCTTGTTCTCCCATTTGTTGTGTTATATTTTAAAAATAATTGTGAATATTTGGAATCATGGTAACATCTGAGCATGTGTTTGATAAACCATTGTAAAGGGTCAAAATTCCTAAGGCACATTTCCTGAGAATTAGATTTTAGAAGGCATGCAGGGAACAGTACTGCCAAAGAGACTTTCAGGGAGAGTTGTACTTGCCAACTATCCCATATTTGCTTTCTAAAGTGATGAAAAAAGATGTGGGGCAAGATCTGTCTCCTTGTATCAAGCTCACATCTGGTGTATGTAATTTTAATACTCTTCAGAGCATCCCTTATGTTTTACCTGCCCCAGTTTGGGTGGTAGAATTTCTAGCACTTCTTTTCCCCTGTTGACTTGGTTTTGGTAATAGTCACAACTTGTGTTTCTGTTTTTCTTTGAACAACCTTAACCAGTTTCCTGGCTTATGATCAGCTGGACAAACCAGAAAAAGCCCCTTTTCTCTCAGTTTTTAAACTCTTCAGCTCTTGTCAACATGTATCATATTCTATTTATGTTCCTTAATGGAAATATTGGGTGAACACGATCTTGATTCCCATCTCCCAAGAGAAGCAGAAATTGTTATTGGTTTATCTTTAGACTTTAACTGCATAAAGCACTGGACCCTGTACTAGAAGGGAGATAATTCTGAACTAGGGAAGGATTGAAATAGATGTGGTTAGCAGCTGAAATTAGTATTATGTACAGTGGACCAAAAACCAGCCCTTGGAAAAAAATTGCTTTTCGTTTTTGGCTTTGCCACTGACATGTGAAGATGTGGAAAAATGTGTCAGGTTGCCTGTAAATCAAAGACATTTTAGGCACACAGGTTATCATAAGATTGAGTGCAAGGTTCAGACAGGGAGAATAAGTTATTACACTTTATTATGTTAAAATGCACCACAATTAAAGGCCGTTGTTCTGTGCTACTATCTAATTAATTTCTCTGAAGTGTTTAGAAAGAAAATATCCATAAACTGTTGTTTGCTTTTTTGTTGTTCTTGTTTTACAGGGAGTTCAGTACAGTGAGTTTGTGTTTTCACGCCTGTGCACTAGAGCTGTAAAATTGTAGTAGTCCAAGAACTTTTATTTTTTCCCCATGTAGAGCCACTTAGTTTTACAGGACAAGGTGACGTATTTCTGACCTGTAACACAATTTACTAAAACTGTGTTAGTTACCCAGAGTATATTGTATTTGCTGAAGGACTGGAAGAGAACAAATTTGATAAGAAAACCCAGTCTGAAATGGTAATGTATAATCTTGTAATGCAATAGCAAATAAAGTAAATAACCAATTTTTAGCACTGGCAAAAATTTAGCCATTGAGTGTGTGTTGAGATTTGTCTTTAGGACATCAAGTAATTGGAAGAGAGGGTAGGCTATTAGAGGGAGAACATCTCATGTAGTCAAAAGTGTTCTTGCAATACAGTTACGAGAGTAGTCGAATAGGTTAAAATACAGCTTCCCTTCAGCTCATGGTTACTGCCCACTCAGCTCAGCCAGTGACTGTGTAAGCTGCTAGCCTGGTTTAATTCAAAGTAAGGCAAACCCATTTTAATCACCAGTGGAGCAGCTGGTACCAGCCTCTGTCGGGAGGAAGGTGCTGGCCTTGTTTGAAATGGTATTCCCTGTATTTCTTTAGTTGGAAAATGCATTTCAGAGTTCAGGGAAAGGAACTTAAAATTCAGTTGGAAAAAGAAATTGTGGTTTTTGTCAAGCAGTTCCCTGTCTTATGCCACTCCATGTGTATTAAAGATGCTTAGCTTTTGCAAATGAACAGCTTTGCATCTCTGGGTCTGAAAGTTGTGCAGACGTCCGAAGTATTAATGCAATTGGGAGTCGGGAAGGCGGAGAGCCTGCTGCGTCCTGGCCCAGTACTTAGCAAGCAATATCAGCGTTCCCATTTGGCTGTAGTCCAAACGCTGTGCCTCCGTATCTTTGTTTTAAAGAATCAATGTAGATTGACTTGAGTTCAGGAGAGGATTTTGTCAGTCAGCTTTCAAGCAGTGAACGTTGAGGCCAGTCCCTTGTTTGTGGAGCTGACAGTACAAAAGTGAGTGTTTGACACGTGGGTTGCTCAGTGCATGGGGATGGAGGCTGTTGAGATTTTTCAGAGATCAGGCTGTAAATGAAGTTGTTCTGTTGGGTCACTCATCTGATTTACACGCAAGCTGTTTCAATTGAAGCACCTGGGGCCTTTTGTTCATGCTTGTGAATAAGCCTCTTTCAGTCACCAGCAGTAATTTAGCGTCCCTGCTTCCTTCCGTAGGTAAAAGGCAAGTACAGGAATGACATTTTCTCCCACACTGTGTGCAACTTCACACTTATTTTTTAAGATAGGTAACAGAAATGTATCAGTAATGTAAATTTTGTTGTATACTGGAGCAGATTTAGAAGTCATCTAAGATGTTGGTAATTTTTTACCGCATAATTCCTAATTCTAGAATAATACTAAGCAGCAGGAGTGCATGGGTGAATAATGATATCCTCTGTAGGTACAGAGAGTTCTGCAGAATAGACCTCCAATATTTTCCAATTTTATCTTGGTAATTTTAGAGGAAGACATTTCATTACCTTGTAAGTGCCCTGGCACAATGGAGTGCCCTACCTGCAGCTTGTAGTGACCCTAACTTGAGCCATAATCTCACATAAACTTTGAGGCAATGTAAGCTTGCCTTTCCGCTGACAGAGTGGTCCTCATTTTTACTGCCTCTGACTTTCCATGCATTAGTCAGTACAAATATTTAAAATAACTTACTTTGTCTTGTCAATGAAGTTTAATGGCAATCAGTTCTTTGAATTCATTATCACGGCATAAAAACTTGAGCCAGCACAAGGGATGGAAAAGCTTGAGAAGAGGTATTAAATGATTGAGGTATTAAATCATTAAATGATTTATTTTTATATTATGTTAGGAATCCTAGGATGGGTGATGGTAAGCAGCTGATGCTTACCTAGTGAATTTGCTCTGCATCATCAGAGGTACCGTGTTGTGGTTAATCTCCCTTCTTACTGTGACGTTTTTGGAGAGTAATAAACAACTTTAAGTAAATGAATTATTAAATTGGTGAAATGCTTAACCATAGATGTCTACTTCATATATATGTATTTTTTTTAAGGCCAATTGTCACAACAGCTTTTAACAGCTACAGTGATACGTACTACATTGCGAAGAAAAGATTGCTGGCATTTGAAAGGTTTTTGTATGTGGGAGTGTTTGCTTTCTGGGAAGTTAGGATGGCAGACAAGGAAGTATGGCTCTGATTTTTGTTGCTTGTTATAATACTATCGCTGTAACTTTTTTGTCTTCAAGTAGGGGCATTATCTACAAATTCATGTGATGTGTAATAATACGAAGTACTCAAGTTCTCGAGTTTCAGTATCTTTGTAAAATAAATAGTTTTTTTAAACAACTAAAATGAGGTGAGGAATTTATTTTAAGGTATCATAAACTTCTAATAAGCACATTTGTATAGGTTATACGGCAGTCTTTTAAGACTATTTCTGGAAAAGCAGTGTAAATTGCAATGAAATACAGCAAAGAACGTGGTGATAGACAGGGTTAATCTCTCTGTGGCTGTCTGCACAGTACCAGATTATGGATGTTGGTGATCACCTTTCTGCTCATTCAAGGATGGGTTATGTTGCTCTTACAATACTAATTCAGTGCAAGATTGTGCAAGGTTTTTCTGGCCCTCTTAAGAGCAGAAAGAAACGATGGCTTAAAAGGCAGCTGTCATTTCATACCCCTTCCAGCTGCCCTTTCCACTCAGATTTCCTCCCATCCCCCCCTTTAAAAAAAAAAAAAAAAAGGGAGGGGGGAAGATTGCAAAAAAGTAGAGTATGAGGGTTTGAAATCTCTAGCATCTAATCTGTCACATCCTACAGTTTTTATAGCTATCTGGCAATTTAAAATATACTTGGTTTTTCCTGCCTTGCCAGTAATTAGACAAATGTAGCAGTGCTTATGGCGTCAAAAACTCTGTGGCTGGTAAAAGCAATTGCTATCATAATGCATCCCTAAATTTAATAGTAGTGGTGTAAAACGAACAAGCAGCTCTCTATATTTCAGGGGGTAATGGCTTTAACTATCAAAATGGCTAGTATTTTCCTTGATTGGCTGCTTTGGCTCCTTTTTTGTGTTTGGAGGAACTGAATAAATTTATTATAATAATTGTATTTTATTTAATGAATAACAAGGCAAGCAGAAACATGAAACTCTTGCTAAGTGTCACCAAGTTCCCATTCACCTTGGATTGCAGGTTTTTCCTTTCATACCCTTTACACAAAAAACCAAACTTACAAAACCTTTTCTTTCCCTGCCAGTATTGCACTTAAAGTTGTTATTTCCTTTTCTGCTTCCCTTGCAAAATTGTTTGCTTTGTGTTGTGCCTGGAGCGTGGCCGTGCATGGAGAAGAAAGAGGTCTGATTAACTGGAAAGAAACTTTTTGTTACTGGAAAAACTCACACACTGGTGTAGAAAATTGATCAAAAATATACTTTCTTGATCCGTAGTGCCTTTTTCTTGCTCCTACGGCATCTCTAAAGCTTCTCTCAAGGAAAAGACTCAACAGCAGTTTGTGTTCTCTTAAAGATGTCTCAGTCTTTAAGGCCAGGTGCAGTTGTGTTGATGCCATTTGGCTAAGCCTTGAAAGTTCCTGTAATCTGTGCCATCCTGTCTCATACAGTCCCATCTCATAGTTGTCCTTTCTCTGCAGTGCTCTATGCCCAGATCTCTGTGGCTGGGCTGCTCCAGCCTGGCGGACAGCATGCCCTCGCTGCGATGCCTGTATAACCCAGGGACTGGCGCACTCCCAGCTTTCCAGGTACTTTCTGTCTCTCCCCACTCCTCCTTTTCTCTCCATCTGTGTACATGTGCGTCTCCTTTACTTTCTTGCTTGCTTTACCTCCATTTATTCTGCCTCATACTGTATGCCTCTCCTATGTTGTTCAGATCTCCTCTGGTTTTTAAACCCATCTCGTGTAGATTCAGGGCAGCTCAGTACTGGGGCATTTCCATTACCTCAATGTAATGTAATCATTTAGTCTAAATTGGCTCGATACCATCATCTTTTCCATTGGCTTTCAATTGTGTCAAAAATATACCACTTAATTATATTTGGCAATCAGTATCCATCACACAGTCTCCAATCAGGCTATTCATGCAGTGATTCCCCTCCTATCTAAATTTTCTTTACGCCATTTAGAGGACTGAAGGGGTGGGTTCATTGCCATAGTGACAGTTGATGCCAACATTTGTTTACTTCAAGTTTGTTAGTAGTAGTTTGGACAGTTTGACTACAGAAAATTATCGTACAAGTAAGCTGTCAATCAATAGGCAAAGAAAGGAAACCTGTTTGTTCTTTGGTCTCTGAATTTGTTAGATTCAAGCTTTTCTCTGTCATGAGACAGCTTTCTGCCAAACAGGTTTGTTCAGACACTTTGGGTGACCATTGAATCTGGTCACTGGTGCAGCCATTCTGCTGTGGGTAGAGCAAGGCAGCTATTGGGTGACCTAGCCAAGGCTCTCGAGATCATTGCCAGCATTTTACGATGCCATGTGGATATAACCAGGAGAGCAGCAGAGACTGGACTGCAGAGATGCTGGATACTCTGTCTCTGAGATGTTCTGTGTGAACTGCAGTGACTGAGGGAACCTTAGGAGTATCTCTGTAGACTGCATGTTCATTGGAGTTGGTGATACCATGAATGCTTATTTCAAGGTTTATGCTGCTGGATTATGCTGCTGCTGACCTAACGTGTGGCAGAGTTTTATTCATCAGCATCTTGCAAAACCAGACATAATGAATAAGCTATAATTTTTCTAAAATTTTCAGTCATTTTGGTGAAAGTTCATTACCCGCCTCTAAAGGACAGCATGCAAAGATGGTTTTGAATTTGGCTTCTTGCTCCCAGGGCTAGGAGGCTACTGTGAAAATAATCCTTGCAGTCTCAGGGGAGGCTTAAGTGTCTTGCATCATCTTGCCGCAGCTCTTTTTGCTGACCCAGCAGTAGCACTGATGGACTCTGGAAGGTGTCCTGCCAGGACTCCTTTGCTGAAGCAAGCTTTTAGTGGAGCTTTCTGTAGGAGAGGGGGAACAACACTTTTTATTAGTCTAAGAGGAGTCTGGAGGCAACAGGCAGAATTTAGACTCCTACTTCTAATCCTGATTTGCATAATTTGACTAAATCGGATGGGCCTAATTTTTGGGCTTTCTGCTGTTGAATAAATCTCAGATCTCTTTAAGCTCAGGTTTTAGAGAACCTTAGCAGTATATAGAAAGCAATTTATAAACTCAAATTGGGACTCCTTTCTACTTGAATTATTTTTGATTACTCAGAATAAGGATATATGACAAAGGAGAAGGGAAATTACCCTCATTTAGCTCAAGATGTTCTTGCTAATGGTAGATATGAACAATAACTTTTACACTAATGCAGCGCGTTGATATTTGGGGTCAAATGAGTCAGCTGCACAACCATTCACCATGTACTGCCTTCTTGGGAGAGTAATAGGACTTTCACATTTGCATTCCAGCAGATTTTGAGAGACATTTCCATGTGTATTTAGTGACTATGGATGTTGGAAAAGTCTGCCCCGCTTGCCATCTAAAATGGTGTACTAGTACTCTTCGCAGCACTCTGACTGCTATGTTGAGAAACACATTTAGTGCCGGTTGAGAGAGAAACTAAATTGCTAGCAACAGTTTCTGCAGCCATGAGTCATCCATGTTTCAGTCCATTTTGTTCAATGGGCTTTGATCCCATTAAGTTGCATGGTTTGAAGAAGACTCCTCTCTGAGGCATGGCTTCTGCATTTTCCCGTGCAGGAGTCTACATGGGAGTGGTTTGGAGCCTGCTTGAAGCTGTGATATTGCAATATTTCACCATTCTTTAATGCTTTTTTTTTTTTGTATCAAATCCTCAGGAAAGCATTAAAGACTTTCTTGTAGCCCAGTAAATTTTCTCATACTAAGTTATTTTCTTTTTTCCGTAGCAAGCTTGAAGTAACTGGAGAAGCATAGCAATGTTCTTTGCTTGTGGCAAAAGAGAAGATGCCATCTGGAAGGCTACTTATTCACTGCTGAATTTGTCTAGTTATTTACATGCTTACCTTCAGATGCTCAGACAGAAATGTGGAAAGAGGCTCTTTTTGAATAGCTCAGATAAAGCCCTGCTGACTTCTCATGGGAAACATTGGCAGATAATCAATTTAGAGATGATTCTGTTAATATGTCAGATAACTTCATTTTTCTTCTTTGTGTGTTTTTATTATTGGAGACACTTGCGTGAAAACAGGATCTTCTGGTTCCTCAGCTCTCTTTGGCAGTCCTCCCACAGTGGGGAAGGCTTTAAGCCTAAACCCTGGAATGGGGGAGTGAGGAGCTGGAAATAGTTGTTTTTAACATCTTTTATCTCAAAGGGCTTTGCAACTGATAGTCTGTTGTGTAACTGAATTTCATAGAGATCATGGTGGAAGATGGCAGCAGATTGGAACGTGAACTCCTGTAAGGCGCTGTGGGAAGGAGTCAAAGAGGATCTTCCACTTTCGGTGTTTTAGATGCCAAACTGTAATGTACTGTTATTCTGCAAAGCAACTAAAAATTAAGTTGCATGTAGATTCTCTTAATAATAATAAAAAAATAAACTTTGCAGAGTATATTCTTCTTCCTAGAAATCCATGCTTTGGAAGTTTCCAGATGTGCCAACAGGTGTCTGTTTTCATGACATTTTTCATTTGGAGATAATTACTTTCCCTTTTGAAGTATTTTCCATGCATGCTCACGAGGCTCGGTTTATGTTGCTTTTAATAGTCACAGTTCTCTGAAATTTCTGATTTACAATTACACCCATCAAGTATGCCAAGGAAATGAATGTATTAATCCTTCCAGGTTTGCAGAAGGCCATAGTATTTCCTGGAATTTATTTCTGTAAGCTGTTGTATACATGAAGAGACTTAAGGAGCCATTTAAGTCTTGCCAAAGGTGGTGTATCAGGGTAGTCACAGAGAACAGTCCAGCTCTTCCTTTTTACCTAATTGACACCCCTCACAAATGCCAGCTCCAGTTTAGACTGTAAACTTTTGGGGACAAGAGTCTTGTTTTTACTACTTTGTCTGGAGCCTAGGCACCAGTGAAAAAGTGAAGAGTTGTTTTGTCAGCTTTATTTTGCCAGATCTGAAACTATTTCCATAACAGGCTCTAGGAGTCAAAGAGGAGGATTAACTTTTGCGACGGAGGTAGCAGGATCTTGAATACAGAAGTGTGTCTCTGGAGTGCCGGAAATGCACATTTTGCTTTACCTGAGGTGAAGATCTCGATCATAAAGAACTGCACATCAGGGTTTGTCAGATGAAGGGGACTGCCTTCTCCTTGGTTTTGCAGAAGCAAGGTGTTGTCTTCCTCGGTCTTGGCAGAAAGCTCTGTCCTGGTTGAGGAAAGCATGGGTGTACTCTGCTAGGCAAACTGAAGAAAACAGGAGTGTACCTGAGGTTGTGCAGCGTGGACATGATGTACACTGCTCCTTTCTTTGATCTGAGATCACTTTTGGAGAAAGGTGAGAGTATGGAAGGTGTAGACGGTCTGTAGTGATGGAAGCCTGTTGCACCCATGAAGAAAGATGAACTTCTCTCTCAAATGTTTGTTACATTTTTTTTCTGATGTTTATATTTTTGTGTTAAAGTGGAATATTTGTTAAAGAAGCATTGTCAGTAAACTGTTAGTAAGGTTTGTCTCTGTAAATTTCCTTCAGCCTGTTCATGCACTTTTGCCTTGAAAGTTGACATTTTATTGCTGAGAAATACAGTGTAAATGTGAGTAGTAGTACATTATTTATGGTTATACAGGAGGCTAAAGCTGAAGTCTCATGGTGGACAAGCTGTGCATGCTCAGAAATGCATTTGTGAGAAAAGCACTTGAAGGAAATTGTTCAGCTTTGGAGAAAACGCTTGCTGGTGTGCGTCGTGCTGTCCGTAGTTGGGGGAGGGATGGGGTGTCCGGTCAGCAGACCCCATCACTGTGGGGACGTGGCCGCCCTTGACCAAGCCTGCTTTGTATTCCCCGCTCGCGCTCTCCCAGCGGCTGTCTGAAATCTGCCCACGAGCTGTTTGCCATGCACCTCTAAAACAGGTTCATAATTTTGGTGACTAATAGCGAGAGCGTGTGGCTCCGGTACCCCCCGGTGGGCGGCAGGCTCTCCCCTGGTTGGGAATGTAGTTAGGTGGCCCCCAACTGTTTACAAGACAGCAGAGGTGAGATCTTTGATTGACAAGTCAGAAATGCATTAGATCATTCCCTCTGCCAGTCTCTGGTTCATGCTGTTAAAAATGTCAGCCTCTCCAAGTTTGAATGGCAGCCTGAGGGCCTCAGAAGCTTTTTGTTTTCTGAGATGGAAACACAAATTGGATGTGTGCCTGAGCGCTTCATCCTGGGCTGTAATTTCATCTTTTAGCTAAGAACCACAAGGTACATGAGCAAAGCACCCTGTAAACAATAATACTGGGGAAAAAAATAAACAAGGTCGTGTTTCTGGTACGTTGATCCACCGGTGTCCTGACCTCTATCACGTTGAACATCTCCACTCTGATTGCTGTTCCCTTTGGCATTACAATGAGAGGAGAGAGACTGACACGGGAGGCAAAGATTTAAAGTTGCAGTGTTGTTGCACATTCCTTGTATTGGCTATGAAATATTGAACTGCCACAATGTGACACCTGTTTTTTTAAGCAAAGTTTCTTGTTGGAGGTGTTCGGCAGCAGTTTCTCCTCTTCCTTTTCATCTTACCACCTGGCAGGAGCAATTAAAAAGGCAGGAGAGGGGATACGAGA